GGGAATTTCACCTCCTTAAGAGTAATGGAGTAGGGAATGGGGGAGTGACCCACGCTGAGGCAGGAAGAAAAAGGGGGGAAATGTAGCGTCTGTTAGGAAATATGTTTCCTCATACTTCAGACAGAGCCACCTGACGAAATGATCTGTCTTCCTTTAGACCAGCAGTTCTCAACCAGGGTATTGTTGCGTGTGTACACACACACACACACACACACACACACACATACACACACACACACACACATACACACACAACCCTCTACGCAACCATCTGGTAATGTCTGGAGACATTTTTGATTATCACAACTCAGGGTGGAGGTGCTACTGGCATCTTGTGGGTAGAGGCCAGAGATGCTGCTAAATATACTACAATGTACAAGACAGTTCCACAACAACAAAGAATTTGGCCCCAAATGTCAACGGTGCCCAGGTCAAGAACCCCCAACATTGTAGTATATGAACACAAAGCAGAACATTGCTATGGGCATTGTGGCACAATGAAGCCAACACGTGGAGAACACTGCCGAGGCAATCCTGCAATCCGGCCTGCGACGCTGGACTGGACCCACCCCGAAGCCCGTCCTTCCTCTGTATTTAGTTACGGACCATTAATTCCCTAGTTTTAAGTTGGGATCTCTGCTAAGTGTAGCCACAGCCTCATAACTGATCTGTTTGAGCAGAGTACTCGTGAGAAAGCTGTAAGCTAAGCAGCAGGAGTCCCGCAGTCTCTCTTCCCCCAGGAGGTTTCTATCCCTAGGCACAAGTATCTAACACATGCGGCTCAGGAAACACAGCTAGGGAAACAAACTTAATCTCAGCTCTTGGGTTGTTAAAGCTTTTCCCAACAGTTCATTCCAACAATATCTTTGAGAGGTCTTCAATTCCATGTTTAGATTTTGAAAAATATAAGCAAGAAAATCAATGTCTAACTCTGACAGGTTTAATACTATGTGCCATTCTCTTAAAACAGAATGTATCTTGAGACTCATTAAATTTAAATATCCATCATTGAAGACCACTGTATTGCAAGTTAGTTGCCCAGTGATAAATGCAATGTGAAGTAGTCTTTGCTGATAGAATATGTGACTTCAAAGGTGGTACAATCTTGCTAGCAGCCTCCACAAGCAAAGAATCACAGAACCAGAGGACATGAGAGATGCAAGGGATGATGAACAGAACATCTTGTCCAATTCCCTCAATTCACAGATGAGGAGGTTCAATGGAAGGCAATTTATCAAAAGCCAACTAGTCAATTAAGGGAAAAATTGAAGCCATATCCAATTCTTTTAACTCTCAACCCCAAACTAGAGACGACTTTTAATTATTTGTGAGGAGTCTGTCCCTTACGACCTGCAGTTTTCATCTATTTTGCCAGGGCCTGTGGCCTGGCAGTAACGATCAGCTAAGAGGAAACTGGAGACAGACACAGGAGAGAATATCTCTGAGTTGTCTGTTTGGGTCCCTGACAGTGTGCTAAAGCAAACTACATGTGAACTTAAGTTATCTGAATGACTCTTCCCATCTCTTTGCATACACACACAGAAAATTCCTAGATAAATAAAACGGATTAGGCACCACCCAACAGATTCATATGTCTCACCCCCCCTGCCCCGCCTTTTTGGCTTTAAAGTACAAGAAGAGTTCTTATCTTCCTGACAGCAGGCCAAGAGATGTGCATAAACAATTCCTAGCTCTACAGTGTACATATCATCAACAGCTCTGACAACCTTCTAAAGGGGCTGGCAGCAGCTTGATTATCACCAGCTCACAAATCTCCCCTCCTTCATGATATACCCCAGGGAACCTTCACAAATCTGCTGGCAAGTATGCTGGCTTTTTAAGAACTTGGCACAACAAACACATCCCTGACCTCCAGAGAAAGAAAGCAATGTGAGAAAAACAAAAAATCATCTGCTACAACACTCTGGTATTTATCCAGTTGAACAAATGGAGCTCAATGAACTAGGGTCGACCTGCTGGCATTGAAGTGGGACTTTGTGGAGGCCATGCTGGGTTCAGGGATGTATTTAACATAACATTTTATTTAAATGTAGCTATACTTTCTATCAGCATATATATCAGCATACGGATATATTACCAAGAGGAAACCAATGAAACCCCTTGAGAAATAAATCTGCTTTTCAAATTCCAGATGATAATTAATAGAGAGCAGTCAAATGAAAAGTTAACAAAACCCTGTGAAACCATCTGCCTTAGAAACAAATCATTTTAATAATAATTCTATATGCCAACCCTAATATCTGCTCTGATTTCCAAAAGTAAATGATCATTTTTACATACATCTGTGGTAAATTAGTACATAAGAATATGCACGTTTATAAGAAAATAGTGGTAGAATACAAATATTTTTGGAATAGAGCCTAATACCCCCAAAGAACAAGAAAAATCTAGAAATTATTAAAACAAATGAAAGAGAAGTAATCATCACACAAACTTCTGGTAAGCTACAGCATCAAAATTCTTAGGGAGATGAAGCACTCAAAAGGGAGTTTTTCCAGAAGAGTCAAAGGTTGATGTTCAATCCAAAGGTCAGTAATCTAGAATTACACCCTTGTTTTTGAGTACTTTTCATTTACAATATATAGGACCTTGTGACACTAGGCATGTGACCTGCAGACATTTAATTAGAAGTAACAGTAAAAGAGTCCTACAATATCTCAGAGCATCTTACATATTTACTTTTCTCAAATAAGCACAGATGTTCTTGTTTGGTTGGTTTTCAGGCCTAACCATTTCTCTATTCCTTTAGTTCACTTTTGCCATGACTAAGTCACTATAAAGGGCAACATTAAAAAAACCAAGGGTGACAACAAACTCTTTAAAAAAGAAATTATAGTTTTGTAGTTTTCACTGAGAGAGCTTATGTAGTTGATTCTCATTATTCATGGATTTTTTTTTTTTACTGTGAAGGTATTTTTTTAAATAATTAAAATAATTTTAAATACAGTTGGCATATAATATTAGTTTCAGGTGTATGACATAGGGATTAGACATCTACACAACTTACAAAGTGATCACTCCAATAAAACTAGTACCCATCTGACACCATACATAGTTATTACAATATCACTGACTACATTCCTTATGCTGTTTTACATTCCCTTGACTATTTTGTAACTTCTAATTCGCACTTCTTAATCCTTCCCCCTTTTTCACCCAAACCCCAACACCTCTTCCATCTGGCAACCAACAAAATGTCCTCTGTATCTATGAGTTTGTTTCTGCTTCGTTTATTTTGTTCTTTAGATTTCACATGTAAGTGAAATCATAATGGCATCTGCCGTTCTCTGTCTGACTTTCTCCACTCAACACAACACCCTCTAGGTCCATCCATGTTGTTGCAGGTGGCAAGATTTCATTCTTCTTTTATGGCTGAGTAATATTCCACTGTATATAGATATCGCCTCTTCTTTATTCATTCCCACATTGGTAGACATCCATGTTGCCTCCATATCTTGGCTACTGTAAACAATGCGACAATAAACATGGATGCACATGTCCCTTCAAGGTTGTGTTTTGAGTTTCTTTGATAAATACCCAGAAATGGAATTACTGGGTCCTTCTTTGTCTCTCATTATAGCTTTGTTTTAAAGTCTGTTTTGTCCGGTATAAGTGTTGCTAACCCAGCTTTTTTTGTTTGTTTCCATTTTCATGAAGTATCTTTTTCTATCCCTTTACTTTCAGTTTGTGTCTCAATCTGAAGTGAGTCTCTTGTAGGCAGCCTATGTAAAGGTCTTGTTTTCTTATCCATTCAGCCACCCTATCTTTTGACTGGAGCATTTAATCCATTTACATTTAAAGTAATTGCTGATACATATATAGTTATTGCCATTTTATTATTCATATTTTTTTTTTCTTTTTCTCCTTCTTTCTCAAAAAGTCCATCTAACATTTCTTGTAATTCTGTTTTGGTGCTGATTAACCCCTTTAGCTTTTTCTTGTCTGGGAAGCTCTACATCTGTCCTTCAATTCTAAATGATAGCCTTGCTGGCCATCTTGGTTATAGGTCCTTTACTTTTCATCACTTTGAACATTTCTTGCCAATCCCTCTTGCCTGCAAAGTTTCTGTTGAGAAAGAAGCTGACAGTCTTTTGGGAGCTCCCTTGTAGGTAACTAATTGCCCTTCTCTTGTTGCTTTTAAGAATCTCTACCTTTAACTTTTGGCATTTTAATTATGATGTGTCTTGGTGTGGGCCTCTTTGGGACTCTGCGCTTCTTGGGCTTGTATGCCTACTTCCGTTGTTAGGTTTTCTGTCATTATTTCTTCAAATAGGTTTTCAATGCCTTGATCTCTTGCTTCTTCTTCTGGTACCTTATGATGTGAATGTTGGTATGCTTGATGTTGTTCCAGAGGCCTGTTACATTATCTGCACTTTTTTGGATTCTTTTTCCTTGGTGCTGTTCTGATTGGATACTTTCTGCTACCTTATCTTCCAATCACTGATTCAGTCCTCTGCTTTATCTTATCTTCTGTTGACTCTCTCTAATTATTTATTTCGGTTATTGTATTCTTTATTTCAGTTATTGTATTCTTCATTTCTGATTGGGATTTTTTTTTTTTTTATGTTTTCAATCTCCAGTTTTATGTTTCCTATCTCTTTACTGAAATTCTCACTGAGATCACTGAGTATCCTTATAACCAGTGTTTTGAACTCTGCATCTAATAGATTGCTTGTTTCCATTTTGTTTAGTTCTTTTTCGGGAGCTTTGTTCTGTTCTTTCATTTGGGACATACTTCTTGGTCTCCCCTCGCCCCCATGTTGGTGGCCTCCCTGTTTGTTTCTATGTATTGGGTAGGGCTGCTGTGTCTCCTGGCCTTACGTTTGTATCCTGTGGGGCCCAGTGGCACAGTCTCCATGGTCACCTGAGCCAGGTGCTCCAGGTGTGCCCTTGTATAGGTTGTGTGTGCCCTCTTGTTGTACTTGAACCTTAGTTGCTGTTTGCACATCAGTGGGAGGGACTGACCCACAAGCTGATTGGTTGTGAAGACTGGCTGATGACTACAGTGGGGGAGCTTCTGTGCAAGGGCTGACCCCACAGTATCGTAGTTTTCACTAATTGAAAAATCTTATATAGTTTATTCTCATTATTCATGGATTTTGCATTGGCAAATTTGCCTATTCACTGAAATTTATCTGTAACCCCAAAATTAATATTTGTGGCACTCTTGCAGTCATTTGGAGACAAGCACAGGGCAGAGAAATATTTGCGTCACCTAGTGCACATGTTCCCAGCTGAGGTCCAACAAGGGGATGCTCTGCCTTCTTGTTTCAGCTCTTATACTATAAATGTCTCCTTCACGGTCTATTTAGTACCATGCATTTTGTATTTTTGTGCTTTTTGCTGGTGATTATGCTGTTTAAAATAGCCTCCAAGGATAGTGCTGAAATGCTGTTTAGTGTTTCTGATCATAAGAAGGCTCTGATGTACCTTACGGAGAAAATATGTAAGTTAGATAAGCTTATTTTGGACACAAGTTGGTTGTGAGCTCAATGTTAATGAATCAACAATATATACTACATAAGGTAACTTTAATCAGAAACACACATAAAATAATATTATGTATTGATCAACTGATGAAGATGAATGTTGTGACCAGAGGTTTGCAGGATCTTGACCCTGTATTCCCCCTAGGAGTGATGGTTCAGTATTCACTAATTCAGTATTCATGGAGACTATGCAGAACATAACTATTATGAAGAATGAGAATTGACTGTATTGAGATTTTCAGTTAAAAGGTCAATAGGGAGAATGTAGCTTATTAAAATGTGCCAAAAGAATCATAGCCCTGAAACTGTTGCCAGGTTAAATTGGTAGAATTGAATTTACAGTAAACTGAACTCCCAATACTTTAGTCTCTTTTTTTTACCCCACTGTCTAAAGCAGTGAAAAGTGAGCCACGCATATCATTAAAAAATCTATCAAACCACCTTAGAGAAGGTGGTTTACTGTACTTTGCTTCAATATCTGTTGTACACCTTTAAAGTTATCCTTATTTTAACCTCAAGTAACATCCTGAAAAACTTACATCGACTATGAAATAAACTTCGATGTAAAATCTATTAGAGAATTCTTTATTAATGTCTAAAATGTGAAAAATTCTCAATAGAAAATAAAATCATAACTAAAATAGCCTAGCAGTTTTGTGGTAATTAGGTACGGAATAGTGGTATAGGATAATACTTACATTTTCTTCACTATGTTTATCTTACAAGAGGCCATAAAAGGAACAAAACATCTTTTAGTTGCCAAAAATCAAATTATCATCTTAACTATAGCTAGTTTATTTCCTTTTTAACTTCATATTTTAACTTCAAATGTACTTTACAATCTATTATGTAAATTAATATTCCTTTACAGAGAATCAAAATTTATACTATTCAAACACGACTTCTTTAAATTGACGATATTAACATATTATTCCATTTTTATCTAATCATTAATTCCTATGAGGCTTTATTATTTACCAAACCTCTCAACAATTCTTTTTCACAACCTAAAGACCAAAGTCTACTCTCTCTAACTCAGAACAGGTAATAGAGACAACTTCCTTCTATTCTCGTGAGCCTCCATGCTGTACTACTCAGAGCAAGTGGCATGCGATGAACTGCCTTTTATTTGAACTCTTGACTATCTAAGATTTAGTGGAGGAAGGTAATCCAATAGATGATACAATCATCAAAGCTGTGAAAAACAGAAGAGTCTTCAGAGTGCATTCGACAGTCTTTTATTTTATTTCTCAGTTGGGCAACCTCAACAGTCAGGACTCAAGTTGATCAAACTTCTCCATCCCTTTCCCATTTCTGAAGCAACACGTGCCTCTTGGCTGTTCAACGATATGTGTTCAATAACGTAACGTGAGCCACATCAGGCCAGGCCAGATGGAGAAGCAACAGGCATATTTGTAGTTTCCACCTAAACTCTGGAAGACTTTTCAATTCACGGCAAGGAGGAAATAATTAATATTCAAAATGACATTGGTGAAAACACACAACAACAAATACTGCTGTGCAACATTCAGAAAAGGTACCTTAGTAATATGATACTATACCAGAAATAAATAGGATTGCTCTTTAGTAAAGTGTATGTTTGGGGTTTCTCATGGACTAGACAAATATAGGATGAAAAGGGTTGAGTCAGATGGTGGTAGGTATTTAAACAGTAACCCAGTGATGCCGTTTTTGTTTTGTTTCTGGCTGTCTTAAAGTAAGCACAATATTGAAAAGCAAAATGATGGGGGAAAAGTCACGAAAACACATTTCACTCCCCGTGGGTCTGACTTGGGAACCTGTCAGGTCCAATTCTGGCCACATGGTTAAAGAGCAATGTAGAAAATAAAAAGTGAATTCAGAAGGCAAGAAGAAAAGTGGCTGAAGCAACAGGTATACAAGATAATTCAGCCTGGAGAAGGGGGAGTTTAGTGAATAGCCTTCAAACAATGTAGAGGTCAATCAGAGAAGAGGTTTTCATTTGCTACTAAAAGATGAACTGCAATTAGCATCCTCTATGACATATATATGTGTGATATTTATCACAGCAGCATTAGTAATACTGAAAAAAATTAGCTACAACCTAAGTGTCCAAGGTAATACTGATTAAGTAAATTCTGTCAGTCTAGTAAAAATGATAGGTTATAAGCAGAGGGGATATGAACAATATGGTGTGAGCATTCACCAATCAGAATGGATACAGGTCATAATGCCAGGTAGTAGTAAAACTAGCATGTTGGCAGGGGCAGAGGTGTGTGTGCACCTGTAGAAGCCATGGAGGCATTTGGGGGCAGACAATCACTTCTTACCAACTGGCACGAAAAGCTTTTCATTTTAGTGGCTAGTACAGCAGCGCCAATACACGCTGGCTGCATGTCATGGCTGGCTGGAGGCATGGCAGCAGCTAACACCACCGCGTTCTTACTCCATGCCAGACACTGCAAAGCATAACTCACGACTGCTCTAAGGTGGCCATTATTATCATCTTTCTTTTACAGATGACAAAAAAAAGACTCAGGAGAGGTGGGGTAAATGACTTGCACAAGTTCATTCTGCTTGCAAACAACAGTGCTGAGATTCAATTCCAGGCTTATTTGCCAACAAAACCTTGCAACTTTATGCTGCACCATGTTGCTTCCCAAGACTATGTAGCCATATGGTAAACGGGAAAATCAAGATAACAAACTGTAAATAAATTAAGATTATACTTGATACCAGGGTGAATCCTTTTCCCTTAAAATTTCCAAAGGTTTCATATGGTTTCATATGGTTGTGCTGCTTTTATAATGGAAGAGAAATTGGTAAGAGAAAGTGTATCATAAGGAAAAGTTTTATGACAGCACGATTTCTTAAACACTGTAAAGAGTTACTGAAATTATAATTTTTTCCTCTTGGCTTTATTGAAATATAATAAACAATTAGTTGCTTGTATTTACATTGTACAATTCGATGAGGTTTTTTTTTAAATTATAGTTGGCATACAGTTTCAGTTGTATAGCATAGTGATCAGAGATCCATATAACTTGCATGAAATTACAATTTTTAATGTATTTTTCCCTCCCAAACAAGATACTTTTCAACTGTCTGATGGTTACACTATTGTTCTAATTAAATAAATAAAATCAGATATAAATTATGGCCCTTTCTAGCACTAGAATTCTACAATACATTGTCAACCCTTATGAAATAAAAAAATATTATCAGTTCAAAAATTACAGAGAAGCCAAGGCAAGTCGCTCATTCAATTAGCATGGATTTCCTGCCTGCCAGGTGTCAGTTGTTTGGCTAGGATGGAGAACACCGAGGTAGTCAAAAACCTTGCCTTCGTGGAGTTTACAGCTATTCCAAGATGGCAATTCCTTCTCAGCCTGTCTTTAAACCAACATTACTGTGTTGAACGGCAAAGAGCACTGGCTCCAGGCTGAGGAGCAACAGGTGAGGATCACACCTACTGGGGAAGGTTGGCTGATCCAGATCAAAACTTCGACACGGGTTCCCTCCCACCTGGGTCAAGACCAACAGCCAAAGAAAGAACCCTGAGAAAGTATGACGGCTGCTGGGAGAGCCCTTGGCCTTGGGGGCAGTTTCTATGTCATCTACTAGGATGCTACATTTCTTTAGGATCCTTAGGGGAAAATGGGGTAGGAAAGAATGATTGAGAAGACGTTTAGCAATTTCCAGGAGTTAGCTGGTCTTGAATCTTATGGTTAAGGAAAAGAACCTACTAGTTAACTAAGCTGCGCCTTTGAGAAGATGATTCTAAAACTTTGTGAATGTCAGAGTAGAGGTTATGGTTCCAGAACATATGTTCCACCAGTGTGGACACTACGAAGTACTTTGGTAGGTCTGAACTGAGAACCTCTGTCTGATCTAGAAACAATCTGTTTGGGGCTCACAATGTTAGAGAAATATATTCACTTGGAAGTACAGTGAGGATTGTTACTTCAGGGATATAAAAACCATCTGTGTTCATAATAAATAAAAGATCATTGAATTCCATGCTACCTTCCCACAAATATTCATTTAAATTAACAAACCCCCCCCTCCCCCGCCCCCATAGACTCTTCCTCCACCTTGCTTTACTTTTTGCCACTTAGTCAGGTCAACTTAATCTCCTTGGTACTAGATTCCTGTTCATATTTCTTCAGGTTGCTAAGCAAATATCAAAAAGTGTGCTGAATGTGACAGTTTGGTGAAAATTTAAGATGGCTGGAAGATCTTTTAAACTAACTATTAGACTCCATCGTGTCTGGAAAAGCGGGGAACTTATATTCACAATGTGTTACTCAGTCAATCCCCCACCATGTTATGCATCTCACCTTCGATATAGCTTGGACTGTCCAAAAGTCATAATTACCAGCGGTACATGGAAGGTAGTCAAGACCAGAACGATCTGGAGAGAGACAAAAGCATTTGGTCAGTAAGAAAGATAGTCTCATTACATGTTTGCCTGTGGTGGGATTAAATCAACACCTAAAAAATTGCCAATAGCCCTGCTCTGTCATAGCCTATATTGTAATATGTCAGAAAACTAAGAAGGACCAAGTTACTAGGCTTCAATGATTCAAGGTCTCAAATCACTTGTTGAAATGGTCCCATCTCCTATGCTTGAAGCAGTGAGGCAGAGCTAATCAACTACACATTACAATAAAGGAAGGACTTAACCGTTTTGTATCCATATTACTCTAAGATATTCTCAGGCAAGAATCATCTCTCTTCCTGCTTACAGAGGCTGTAACAGTGTGGGTGCCCTAATAGAGGTCACGGTGTCAAATGTGTCTCTCCTCTCTGCTGTTAGTTCTCCATGAAATTAATTTCTTAAGTATTTTTTATATAAAAATATACATGAGGAAAAGATTCTGATAGATTAGTACAAAAAGCTAGGGAGCCTCAAAATAGCCATGTAACAAGAAATTTTGGAGATACCAACTATCTTAAATGAATGGATATATCATGGAAATTAGGACACAACTCAAATTTTAGAAGAAACTGAGACATGCTTACATAAATTCTACTAGAAGCTTAAAAATTAAGGTAAGAAATTTCTAACTTGCTCTTCTGCGCCAGAATTATATTTCTTTGGGCTCCTGACACAGCCCTCATGCACCTCAGTGACATGATACACACATTACTGGAAAATCAGAGAGTATGAGCTGTAGCCCCTGCCCGTATTCAGGCCGGACAATGAGAGCCAGCAAACGTCAAGCCCTGATTCAAGACCTGAGGCTGATGCATCTTCAGCTCCATATTAGGAGGGATGAGGAGCTCAGTGACTCTCCTTCCATCCCCTTGATACTGGCAGCACCTACTGAGTGATGCAGGAAGAGACAACAGATGAAACATGAGCCCATGGGTGCCACAGTCCTTCCCATTACAGAATAAAGTGGTCACGAGACGTTTCCAGTTCTAAAGCAAAACCTAAATGACCACGGCTTCTTGAAAGTCTGTCCTGCAAACATGCATTTCTGTGACTGAGCTTAAATGCCCCAAGTCTACATCTTCTTCTTACTAGGCTGAATTCACAGCCTCAAAACATTACTTACCCCAGTGCTATCTCCAACCCAGGACAAGGATACTGAGCCACTGAGATCATCAAACACATGCTATAAGGGAAAAAAAATCATTTAGAAATGACATCTCTCCTTCCATCTCTGACTTCCTTAAATAATTCAGAAGACTATTATTTTTTTTCAAAGTAATTAAGTTTATAATTATAAGGGGATATGGATTCCCAGAACAATATTTGAGAGAGACAGGATTTAACTACTTAACTTGAATTACAAACAACTTGGAAATTTTAATTCTCTCTCATACAAAGTAAGCCAAGCAGATGCGTTTTCTTCACTGTACCAGATGGGGAGATGGGACATTCTAATTGCTTTCTCCAACAGAACTAAATATAAAGATGTAGAAAGTATTCTTAGGCTGCTTTAAAACAAGAGATCACAGCCCACATTGACAGATATAATTGTAACCCAATCGGCATAATTTAAATTTTTCTAGGCAGCCTACATAGTATAGCTGAATAGTTAATAGCAGGATTCCTTTTGCTTCTAGGCTAACTCACTCAAAATGACGAGGGACAGGAGCAAGAGCACATGCCCTCGTTTCACCTTTTTAAATGCTGATAATTAATAATAAGAAGAGACCCTTAGGAGAGTTGTAGCGAGAGTGAGGAGGTAAAGGAGGGGTCACTAGAGCATCGCATCCGAAGTACGGTGAGCGTGGTGAAGTGGAGCTTCAATAATCGCTGTAGGTGCTTCTGGGTTTCGGTTTTCCAATACTTTCTCTATTTATAAACCACTTATATTTATAGTATAGATCCATTATAGGAAAAATGTAGATAATACTAAGGAAGTAATAATGAAGAAAATATAAATCACTCATAATCCTATCAAACAGAGATATTCAAAGTTAACGCTGTATGTATAATCTTCTAGTCTCGATCGTTTTTTAACTGATAAAGAAATAATTCCAAAAAGGCCATATTGGCACTTGGTAAAAATTTCCGACCATACAGAAATGTACATGGACAACGTGAAGATCCTTCCTCTCCTCCTGCCACATGCCCCACTACTCCAACCCCCTCTCCCCAGAGGGGTTAATAGTTTAGTAAACACTTCTAAGTTATTGACAGTTATACTTTTCTCTTCTGGAGACTTACATCTTATGAAGACTTTTAAAACCTTAAACATGCCTCTCCAAATATAAATAGTTCCTTAGAAGCAGAGGATATAATTTTATACTTCTTGGTTTTCCCTGTGCCTAACACGATACTTTGCAAGTCAATAAACATCTGTTGAAAATGGTTATACATCCTTCCCAAACCACAAACTCATTCTCAAAATAGAACATGTCTATAAATGGTGGGATGCCAGCTGCTTGGTCACTCAAGCCACCAACCCCAACAGAGATGTTTGAAGAAACAGAACTCAAAACACTAACTGTTTTGTTTATCTTCTAATTTTCTTTTGTGGTCTTCCTGAATGGGCCTCTGAATTCACCTTTTTCTTCTCTGGACTGTAAGTACCTTTGAGATTAGAGGAATCGCTTGTATAATCTCCGTTAATTGTACAATCAGTGCCTCACAAAGGGCTTGCTCGGTAAGTGCTGTTTAACTATCAAATGCTCAGGCAGAGCTTCTCACAGCCTCTGCAGGACAGAAAGGCTATTCATACATACGAGCTGGCCAAGCATCTGAGAAAAAGTAGGGCTGCTAGAGACATCTGGAACCAGAAGCTTAAGAACTGACACAGCAGTGTGTCTTGTAAGATATTCCACACTGAGCAAGACGGCATGTTCTCTTGAGTAAGGATACAGTGTCTGAAATTACATCAATGAGTTCCTTTAGAAGGAGAAATATCCGGAGCTACCACAAGTACTGGATAGACCACACAGGCTAACAGTCATCTAAACACAGGCTATCTTTCCAAGGAAGGTTCTGGTCACAGCAACTGAATAGGATAAAAAGAAAAATTCCACAATTGGAGGTCTGGCTATCTCCATCAGGCCACAATGTAGTTCATCTTGAGCCAATCAGGACCTGCAGCTTTCGCTTTTGAAGCAATGCTCTACACACCTGGCCCCGACAGTGCACGCTGGCATCACTCACTGTTTCCTTTTGCCCCGTCACAGAAGGGGGAGGATGATGTTACTAGCAACCCACAGCTTCACCTAAACAACTCGAAGGCTAGGTGACCTCATTCATCATCCAGAGGGTTCCTTTGTCAATGTAAGCCAGAGTTATCAACTACATCTGTGGTCTTCTGCTACTCTTAACCCTCCCTCCTTTCCCTTCCCAAGAGCCAATTAAAATTTACTTTTGAAAATAAACAAACTCATCCACTTACGGCAAATGTAGCTAATTCTTTATATTTCAGTGTTTAACATTCTTATACTGGTAGAAGTGAAATAGAAAACTGAACTCAGATTTAACAGACCAAAGCTCGAGTGTAAAGAAAAGGTTATATGGAAAGGAGACAAATCCAGGGGGGTCGGAGGACTAAACGCACAGACACAGTCCCGCTCCTTCAATGAGAGGATTACAGATGTCCAGAAAAGGGCCGTGGTTAGGAGACGGAATTCACAAGTGTCAACAAAAGGCCATCGAGTCTAATGCTTAATCATTTATCATATTTAACATAATGTACAGGTCACTCTACAGTGTGGTGGCATCTCAGATATTTCGAAATACGTATTACTTTTAATTATAGCAACAAGAACATTGACCGTCTCCCTTACTAGACCTGAAGCCTATCCGGTGCAGAGACTAAGCCTATTCATTTTGGCAACTAATATATAATATACTACATGGAAGGCACTCAGTAAATCGTAAATTCATTTTCTTTAAGAACTTGTGAAGCTCTGAAAAGGAAGATGATGAAGTGAAAAGGTAAAGCCAGACCCTCTTAATTTCCCCATGGCAGAAATGAGTATGAAATGTAAAAAGTTCTATACTGAGAGGACTTCTGCTTCTGGCCAAGATGGAATAACAGAGATCAGATTTCTCTTCCCACCTGAAACAACTACAAAACCTAGAAAATATATAAAACAATAGTTTTCAAGACTTTGGATTTCAGTCAACAAAGGACAATAGTCCCTGAAAGACAGGAAACAAACAAGGGCCTGCATCTGTCCTAGCTTACCATCTGGGGGAAATTCCATGCCACAGTGTAGGGCAGGGAAACCTAGCCAGAGCCCAGATGTCTCCTTCAGTTGAAGAGATGAGCTTGTAGTCTGGGGAGGCCACAGAGGCTGTAGTTACCATCGACTCCATCCACACAGTCAAAATTTGGAAAAGATGCCCTGAACACATCAAAGTGTTTAAAGGCACTGGCCAGGAGTAGACTGAACAGAAGAGAAATTCAAGTATTTGAGTATGAAGAAATAAAGGTCTGCATACTGAGATTTAAGCAGGGCTTGCAGAGGTGGGAGCACATAGAAGCAATAGCAAGACGGTGGTGGAAGGCAGCCGTGCAGGTAGAACAAACATGAAGATATATGCAAGTATTTTGAAAGCTGTCAAAGGGCAACAAATAAAATATGTTAATATCACCAACTAGTAAAGCGCTGAGTATACAGTAGATGCTATTAAGTACTCATTAAATACGAATTTCAAAATCAGGATAAACAAAGTTAAGGTGGGAATCAAAAGAAAATAACAGAGAAAAGGAAACTGTGTGTGAGAAGAACAGTGCTTTTGCTTGAAATACCCAAAGAAAGCTGGGACAAGGCCACAGGATCATTTCCTTACACAGGCATGGTGTCCAGTGGTACATACAGCTGAACAGAATCAACCAATAAGTTATGGTTCAATTGTTCTAATCAAGGCGAAGTAAGATGAATAAAAGAAATATGAGTGGAGGACAAAGCTTGTGGCTACAAAACAAACAAATAAACAAAACTGTAAGGCAGAATAACCCCTACAATATTAAAATACTGAACACATAAAAATGTTAATACACTGAACACAGACATTTAGGAGTAAGAAGTCCAGCCAACAGAAGGTAGCGTGAATGTCTACTTTAAGCACTGTTACAAAAATGATGTTATGTGTTAGTTGTATACATGACAATTAAAATGGAGAAGGTGGCAAGGGGATGGGGGGATTTTGAAGCATGTTTTATTTCTGGGGAACAATACCTATGTTGCTCCAACATAATATGCATAAGAGGTAGATTATTTAGCACAAAGAGAACATAATCTGGCCACTACATATTGCTAAGCAGATAGCCAAATGTATGATCTAGAAGCAGGTCAAAATTAAGGGAAACTATGTAAATATGCTGTTTGTGTAATTAACAGTCCAAAAGCCAGTATCCAGAGGGGCTACAGAGTAAATACAGTAATTCAGATTACTTAATTATACCCTAGGGTAGGAAGCTCAGAAATCAGGAAGTTTAAAACTATGTAGTTACTACAATATTATCGACTATATTCCCTATGCTGTACTTCACATCCCCATGGCTACTTTGTAACTACCAATTTGTACTTCTTACTCTCTTCACCTTTTCCACCCAGCCCCGCAATCATCCTCCCATATGCCAGGTGAGTACTAGACTAATCAGAGATCACTTCGTAAATTATACAAATTCTAACCACTATGCTGTATATCTAAAACTATTATAAAATAATATTGAATACTGAACTCTAATTAAACAATAAAAACAATTAAACAACAACAAAAAAAACTATTTAAAATGTCACTGGATCTATCAGGAGTGGGTGAGCATGAAACTGACCACATCTAGAGAGAGATACATTAATCCCCTAGCACACTTACTGGCACAGGAATAGACAAGCCCAATCGATGGAACTAAACAAAGTCCAAGACTGGGCCAGGTTTCTTTTAGTGTATGATAAAGTTAGAGTGCAAGTTAGTGGTGAAAGATTTTGGAAAAACTAGCTATTTGGAAAACATAAAAAGCTGAATTCCTAAATCCCTTCTTACTCCCACTCCCAAATAAATTCCACATAGAGCGAAGATTTAAATATAAAGTTAAATCATAAAAATCCTAGAAGTATGAGTGGATATTTTTATAATCTTAGCATGGGAAGACTGTTATAGAAAATGATACAAAAACCAGAACCCATAATATAAT